AAGCAGACACAAACATACAAGAAACCTTTCCTTAGGTGTACACCTAGCAGTCGGTGAGAGTGAACTGTTTACAACAGACCCTCCAGTCCAGGAGCGCTCCATCTCCAACCCAGTGACTCCCTGGAACTGCACTTGGTGACTCTGTGCTCACACCCAAATAAGCTATTTTCTCTGCCCTTTGCTCTCTTTCCCAACAGCGTTGGTGAGAGGATAAAGTCGGCTCTGAAGAAAGCTGTGGGAGGTGTCGCCTTGTCCCTCTCCACAGGCCTTTCCGTGGGGGTGTTCTTCCTGCAGTTCCTTGACTGGTGGTACTCTTCTGAGAACCAAGAAACCATCAAATCACTGACCGCCCTGCCTACCCCACCGCCACCCGTACACCTAGACTACAACCCGGATTCGCCCCTGTTACCCAAATTGAAGACAGTGTGCCCGCTGTGTCGTAAAACCCGGGTGAATGATACAGTTCTTGCCACCTCTGGCTATGTGTTCTGTTACCGATGTGTATTTAATTATGTGAGGAGTCACCAAGCCTGCCCCATCACTGGCTATCCCACGGAAGTCCAGCATCTAATTAAACTCTACTCTCCAGAGAACTGAACGAGATCAGCAGAGCATCTCACAGCTCAAGTTCTGGACTGTAGGCCGAAAGATTGTTTCAGTGTGGCAAACAACACTGATACTTCCCTAATTCATAACTGCAGTAATTTTCAGTAACTATATGGATTCCTTTAAAAGGACACATCCACTTGATCCTAACTTTTTGCTCTCTACCAAGCTGGTTAAGCAGGAGAATCAGGATTACAGGCGGTGTGAGGGCCAATGTGGACGTGGATTAAAGAAGGCTTCTAAGTGTTGCTTGTCCTCAAGAGGAGGGTTTTCAGTTGAATGTGGCAGCTGAAATATGTGTCTTATCTGCACCCAGAAGGCAGAGACAGGATTGAGTTCAAGGCCACCAGAGGGAGACTGTCAAAACAGTAAAATGAAAGTGAGAGGCTATGATTAAGGACACAAGCTCACAGGCAAACCCAGGTTAGACCTTACACGACAGGTGGTCTGGTAAACAGGCCTTCTCTTTAGAAGATATTTCTTTACCCGTGAAGAAGTAGCGTGTAGTCTTCATCAGACTACATACAATACGAAACACGGACTTCTTTCTAGAAATACTTAAGGACATTTTAGAGAAACCACCCCATCCAAATACCTTGACTTACTAACATACATCTGCTAATTATCAGCATTTGAAGATTCCTTCATGAGCCCACACCTGTCTCTCTTGGGAAACAGATTAAAGAAAAACAGGATTTGTTTAAAGGGAGGAGTCTGGAAATTTCCAAGTGAATGAAAGCTAGCGAGCAATGGTGAGATGCAGTAAATACTTATGGAATGTTTACCTAGTGAATACTCAGTGAGGAGCAAAAGCTTTCTTTCCCCTTGCTCAGCTGACAGTTTGCTCAATTGACGTGAATCATCCTAGGTATTATGAAAGTTTCTATGAAACATTTAAGTAAATTTTAACAATACATGATTCTGGGAAAGAATTGTTCCATGCTGTCATGATTACTTCAGGGGTTTAAAATAAATTTTCATACAGATCACCTTTGACTTCTTGAAGTATTCCTGTATTGATTAAAGTTTTGCTTATTAAAAAGACAAATCCAATAATCAGAAAAAATTCTGTTCTAACAACAATATTGCCTTGTATGAAATAGCATTTACCAGAAACACAACAGATCAGTTGCCTATTTAGAAAATTTATGACAAGCTGATGAAAAATGGCTTTTGGAAAATCTTTAATGTAGGATGAATGAAAATAATTTGTAAATGCCTGGTATAATACTGTGACTCATATTCTCTGGCACCAGGAAGATGAAACAACTTTATTAGCTTTTAAAATGGACAGACCATCCTGTGGACTAAAAATATTAGTGTTCACATATACCAGAAGGAGAGATCATGGTCTTTTACAAGCTCTGATAAAACCTATCATAACAAAGGTCTAACCCAAACAAATACCATAGTTTATTACAACACTTTTAATACAGTCAATGAAGAATTGGTTCCGATTCAGGGCAGAAAGGATGAATCCTCCATGAAGTTTTCAACCCTGATTTCTCACCTGGACCTAAGAAGGAAAACATGAAAGTATCAGTAATTCAAGGCTACAGAAGAATACACATAAACTAGGACCCACACAGGTTCAAATACACCTGGTGGCCGGACAAGCACAATCAGCTCAGAGAGAAGATTAAGGGGTCATGCCCTGGTCAGAGCCAGCGCCAGAGCAATGGCAATACCAGGTCAGACTATACTTCACTCATCATTGCGTCATCTCATTTAACCTCCCTGGGTGACCGAGGATGCCTACTTTCATACCCAAAAAGAATTTAGACTTGCATACCAAAAGAGCTACTTAGATTTTTAGAAATACTTTCCGCTATGCGGTAAGTAATTGCTATACAAAAATAAAAACTTAAGTTGTGTTTGTGGGCAGGGTACTTTTCTGTTTTCACAACACAGAAGAGTGAGACACCACTCAGAAATTTTTTTAGAGCCAGCCATGGTGGTACATGCCTTTAATCTCAGCACTTGGGCGGCAAAGGACTGTTGAATCTCTGTGAGTTTTCGGTCTACATAATTCCAGGACAGCCCTCAGAGCTAGATAGCAAGACCCTGTCTCAACAACAAAAATTTTTGTTATTTAAGTGAGTCCAATCTCTACCTATTTGGACAAAATCTTAGGGATATCTGTGAAGAGTCTTATAGCCTAATTTAAAGTAATAGCTGTAGAAAAGATTCTCTACAAAATTATAAATCAATTAACATGGAATTCAGCTGCTATCAAAAATAAAAAAAAATATAGTCAAAATGCTTGTAGTTCCAGCTACTCTAGAGGGTCAGACAGGAGGCTCACTTGAGCACAGGAGTTAGAGGCCTGAGCAAAGCAGGAAGACCTACAGTGAACAAACTATTCAACACAAACTTTTCTATCAGAATCTTCTAATTTTAGTTCAAAATCTCTGAGAGGCTAGGCTCTGCTAACGCTCTATAGCAATTAACAGCAGAATGAGGAAGAGAATTGGTCTGAATGCCAGTTTTCTATTTTTCTACCTCTTAACTTCTTAACTCCTGCCCTTTCCTAACATAGGAGAAACTAATGGCACCGGGGAGATGTCTCAGCATTTAAGAACACTAGTACCTCTTGCATAGGACCAGTAACTGACTTTAAACCCATCACCTTGACAACATTGTGATTCAATGGGTCTCCTGTCTCTAGTTTCCCTGGGCTCCAACACATATACACAGACCAAAAAACTATAAAAGTGTGATTCAGCAGCTACAAGCATCCAATTACTCCCCATGGCCCAGGAAATAAAATCCAAATTTCTTTGCTTGGCATTCCAAGGGATTTCAAAACCACAAGTGAAGCCACAGGTCAAGTCCCAGAACCATCACAACAAAAACAACCCCCAAACAAAAACAAAATTCATGCCAGGTGTAGTGGTGTATACACCTGAAATCCTACTGCTTTGGGAGGCTGAGGCAGAAGAATCCCAAGTTTGAGGCCAGCATGGGCAATACAGACCCTGTATTTAAAAAACAAAACAAAACTTAAAATCCAAATTAATCCACATTTGTTCTTACCTAATTAATAGCATAACCCTAACAACTCTTATAGACCACCCAACCCAGATTATCTGTAACTTCTTAGATCTACTCTATTTGGCCTGTGCCTTCCCTCCCATGGAAACCCTTCCTCCAGCTCAGTTCTGCCTCCCCAGTTGTGACCCTCCGAACTGCCACTTTATGCATGAGGCTTTATCCCAATTAATCCCAAAGGAAGGCTCCGATCTTCTGAATTACGGAAGCAGAGTTCGTGGAACCAATTCCATTTAAAGATTCCCTACAGGGCTGGAGAGGTGGCTCAGAGGTTAAGAGCATTGCCTGCTCTTCCAAAGGTCCTGAGTTCAATTCCCAGCAACCATATGTTGGCTCACAACCATCTGTAATAGGTCTGGTGCCCTCTTCTGGCCTGCAGGCATACACACAGACAGAATATTGTATACATAACAAACATAAATATTAAAAAAAAAAAAAGATCCCTACAGACATGGGAACTGAACCCAAGCTCCTGCCATGCCCAGCACGTTCCCTAGTTCTCTGTCTCTACACACTCCACCTGAAGCTTCTTCCCGCTCTTCATGTGAGAATGGCTGGGTATGGTATACTGCTGGAGCTACTGAGATGTCTCCTTTTCTGTTAACTGCCCTGAACTGCCTTAGTTTCCTCTGACCTCCAGTTTTCTCTGCCATCACAGCAATCATCACCCACTAACTACGCAGTAGTTCAACAGTCCGTCCCCCGCGCCCCAGCTCCATCTTCCCCACCAGCCCTATCTCACTGATTTCGATGCTGACTCTTACGAGTCTGAATACAGGAGTTCAATAAATGACCTCAGTCAGCCCTATGGTCCTCGATTAGAAAAGTAGCACAATTTACAATGCCAGCTTACCTCCAACCGGTCACGCGGGCAAGGACCACACCTCGGGTATCTCCAAGTTCTCATTCGCCTATCCTCTAACACATGGCGCTCTGCACAGATCCCTCTGCTGGCCAGCGAGTGCTCACACACAGTACCTCCTCAAAGCAAAAAAGAGATAAAGTCCAAACCCCACCAACTTCGAGAGCCATCCTTGGTGGGGAAGAAGACTGAGGCCAGGGTGGGACCTTGAATCGGCACCCAGCCTGGACTCCTCATTCCGCAGTCTTGGACCAAGACTGTCGGGAAACACCTCCCGTCTGCAGAGGGTGACGGAACCCAGTTCTGGGACACTGCGACCTGGCCACACATGATCACCGCGCCCTCTCCCTGCTCCTCTGCCGGTCTGCATCCCACAGCCCCACGCGCACGAAACAGCCAATACCGCGGCAACCAGAGATTCACGTGAGAGCTGTAAGGCGGGGATGATATGGAGAGCAGCCAATCGAAGGGCAAGGTGAAAGGCAAGGGGTGGAACTGTCGTAATGGCGGAGGCTGCTATCCCGTTGCTTCTATGCTACCGGGCCTGTGGTCTACGAGTTAGGGCTGTGTTGTTCTGTACAGAGAGCGAGATGCTGTTTTTCTTCTCCCTACAATACTCTGTTCATGGGATTCCTGGCGACTGTTAGGCACAGTGATTTTACGCTTGCCTCGGTAGAGAGTGAGGAAGGGAAAGGCGAGAGACCCCCTATGTTGAACATTTTTAAAGACAAATTTTTTTAAATCAATTTATTTATGATTGTGCATGTGCATTTTCCTTGCGAGTTTGTCTGTGCACTATGTCAGTGCAGAGCCCGCAGAAGTCAGAAACGAGTGTCATTTGGAACGTGAGCTATCACGTCGGCGTGGGTAATAGGGGGCCGTTTTCATTCAAACCTCTGCATAGGTGTTGCTGGTCTTGAACCTTTGATCCTCCTGACTCCACCCCCCCCAAGTGTTGGTTTTACAGGCATGCACCACCACACCCGCTTTACTGACTTAATTTAGGGACAGGATTTCTTTTCTTTCCTTTGTGGGGGAGAGGGTTCGAGACAGGGTTTCTCTGTATCATTTTAAAAATAATTTATTTTTATTTTATGTTTGTGCATTGGTGTTTTAGCTGCATGTATATCTTTGTGAATGTGTCAGATCCCCTGAAAATGGAGTTATAGACAGGTGTGAGCTGCCCTGTGCTGGGAGTTGAACCTGAGTCCTCTGGAAGAGCAGTCAGTGCTCCTATCCTCTGAGCCATCTCTTCAGCCCCTTCTCTGTGTATCTTTAGCTGTCCTGGAACTCACTTTGTAGACCAGGCTGGCCTTGAACTCACAGAGATCCAACTGATTCTGACTTCAGAGTGCTGGGATTAAAGGCAGGCACCACCGCTGTCCAGCCAGGATTAATTTTCCAGTGATGTTCTAAAATGAACTGAGATTATCTGTTGTGGGATATTTGTACACTGTGTGAAGATGTATTTGCTGTGACTTATGTAATAAAAAGCTGAATGGCCAATAGCTAGGCAGGAGGTATAAGTGAGATTTCCAGGGAAAGAAAGAAAGAATTGGGGGCTGGAGAGATGACTCAGCAGTTAAGAGCACTGACTGTTCTTCCAGAGGTCCTGAGTTCAAATCCCAGTAACCACATGCTGACTCACAACCATCTATACTGAGATCTGATGCCTTCTTCTGGTCTATAGGCAGACATGCAGACAGAACACTGTATACATAATAAATATAATAAACCCCCCCCAAAAAAAAAAGAAGAAGAGGAGGGGGAGATAATCGAAGTGCAGGGAGACACCAAAGAGACCTGGAAGGAGTTGGACAGCATGAAAATGTTGAAAAGCCATGAAGCAAAATGAAGGTTAATATAAATAGGTTAATTTAAGTTATAAGAGCACATGGAACAAGCCTAAGCTAAGGCCAAGTGTTCATAATTAATATAAGTCTCCATGTCATTATTTGGGAGCTGGCTGGCAAAATAGAGAAAAATTCCTTACAGTCATGTGAAAAATCAGTTACTTCTAACTACTAAGACATATCTCTAGTCCCAGTCAGTGTTTTCTTTCTTCTTAAAAACTTTTAACGATTTATTTTATGTGCATTGGTGTTTTGTCTGCATGTGTGTTTGTGTAAGATTATTGGATCCCCTGGAACTAGAGTTTCAGGGAGTTGTGAGTCACCCTGTAGGTGCTGGGAAGTGAACCAGGGTCCTCTGGGAAGAACAGTCGGTGCTTTTAACTGCTGAGCCACCTCTCCAGCCCCTTTTTTCTTTTTTTATAGCAAGAGGTTCTGATGGGAACCTCCTTCAGCTAATGACCTTTAAGAGACTGGACCAGGTAGGGGTGTGACTTTTTGGGAACCCAGAGAAAACCACCAGTCTGCCCAGCTCTCCTACTCTCTTGTTCCTGCGACTCCTGTTCCTGTTCCTCTCTAACACGGGCAAAAACCAAATTGGGACTGTCCACCATGGCTTGCATCTCTCGGCCATGAGGTAAGAAAACCTCATAAGAGTTCGGGTGGGGTTCTGTTCTCATCTTTACAGGAAAATTCAACATCTTCAAAAAGTCAAGAGATCCTGGACTTTTAGACACGTAAAGAGGAAAAAATAGCTATCCAGAAAGGATCACCAGGCAGAAAGGAATATGACTTATGAGGTCAGGTGATCAATATATATTTATAAATACACACATATATTTATAAATATATAGAGCTGTCTTTGGAGTTGACAATGGCTAATCCTTCTCTGGTGTGGGAGGTCATTCTGTATATGTGTAGCTTTTATTGGTAATGAATAAAAAACCTGCCTTGTCCTGTAATAGGGCAGAGTAGAGCTAGGCAGGGAAAACTAAACCGAATGCTGGGAGAAAGAAGATAGAGTTAGGAGATGCCATGTAGCTGCCACTGGAGACAGACACACTGGAAACTTGCTGGTAAGCCACAGCCACGTGGTGAAATACAGATTAATAGATATGGGTTATTTTAAGATATAAGAGCAAGCTAGAAATACACGTAAGCTATTGGCCAAACCTTATTGCAAATAATATAGTTTATGTGTGGTTATTTTGAGTCTGGGAAGCTGGGAACAAACAAGCAGCCTCTTCCAACACTTCTCTAAATCTGAGCGTGTTGTTAGAAGAAAAATTCAGAGTTTCTGTCTCATGTCAGAAGCCATCTAGTATGGGACAGAAAGAATTAAAAAAAATTATTTTCTCCATGCCTATATTGTCTATATCAAATCTTTCATTGAATATATGTCTATATGAATAATGTGTAAGTTTTCCACAATGAATAGTAGATTTTCCTGCAGTAATCTATGGAATTTCCAGGAAGACAATGGGGCTTCACAACCATAATGCTACATGGTAGAGATGACATCATGATGCTGATAGTGCTACTTTAAGACCAGTTTTTGGTACCAGCTGATGAAATGGTGCACCTTCTTAAAACATTCTGGCCAGAACTCCAAATAAGAACTTTAGAAAAACCCTTTTGACTACTCAGAGATCATTTGAAATTATACAAGACACCCATTGTTTTACTTTCACAGGATCCCATAGAAAGAACATTGCCCCCATGACAGCTGGAAGCAATTCTAGAAGACAATATACCTTCTCCCAACAAAGTTTGTCCTTAGAGTTATGGACACTATTTAGTGGCTGAAAAAAAAAAAAAGAAGGAAAAATTGAATGGGATGCTAGGTAGATTAGTGTGAACTTACTCACACTAATAATAATAATAATAATGAGTAGTAGACTGAATACTTGTGAGCCATTATTTATGGACAATTTACATTGGTATAGATTCTTTTTTTTTTTTTTAAAGATTTATTATGTATATAACTTTCTGCCTCCACACACCAGAGGAGGGCGCCAGATCTCTTTACAGAGAGTTTGGAGCCACCATGTGGTTGCTGGGAATTGAACTCAGGACCTCTGGAAGAGCAGACAGTGCTCTTAACCACTGAGCCATCTCTCCAGCCCCTGGTATAGATTCTTGTATATTGATACAAGTTCAAATTATATTTGTTTTATTGAATATGCTCCTATTTTTGTTTCCAATATTTGCACACCTATGCAAAGTTATTTTGTTAGATTATTTGAATGCATGTTTTTACTTCTGTTTAAGACATTTTATATGTTGATATAATTTTTAGGATATGTATGTCTATCATATTGCCTGGTATTAGAAACCTAGCCAAATACCTGGGGCCAGTGAAGTCATTGAACATGGAGGAGAACCTATAACTGCCACTTTTCTAAACCAGCACAATTCCCAACTACAGTCCAAATATTTATCCGTATACCCACAGAGAAGTATAGGTCTCACTCATTAAAGAAATGTTTCCTTGTAACAGATGGAGATCTTCACAGAAAGCCACAATCAATCAAACTGCAGAGAACAAGCGACCATGTGGCGTCCAGTCGCAACTGAAACGTCTACAACACAACTCCTGTGCCTAAGATTGGGGGGGGCATAGTGGAAGAGAGGGGGTGGAAAGACTGTAAGAGTCCACGGAACAGGAACTTTGATGTGAAACTGCATCTCCTAGGAATGTAATAATAGACGCTTCACCTATGAAGTCCCATCAACGTGCTGACTGAACAAGGTAGTGTGCCACTATGGAAGGCGGAAATCTCCTGGGGTCTCAACCATAGACAAGGAAATACTGAGGGTGAAACGGAAATACTGAGGGTGAAATAGTCTGTCCCAGCGAAGAGCTCACAGATTAGTTATCCAACACCAAGTGGTCAGCACCAAAATAAAGTCATACAAATACTGTCATATGGACTGAGCAGGTTGTAGTGATATATTTAGGAGGGTTGTGTTAAAACAACAAAGAAAGACCATGAATTTGAGAGATAGAGAAAGAGAGAGAGAGAGAGAGAGAGAGAGAGAGAGAGAGCGAGCGCGCATGGGACAGGTAACATGGGAAAAGTTAGAGGGTGGAAGGGAAGGGGATAATGATGTAATTATATTTTAATTTCAAAATAAAATTTTTTTGGTCTGTAAAGAACAACGTTTTATCATTTGCAGGAAAATGGATACAACTGAAGATAATAGTATTAAGCAAGTTAAGACAGTCTCAGGCAAATATTGTATGTTTTCTCTCATTCTGGTTCCTAGGTTCTATATAAATACATAAAATTAGTTATGTATATATGACATGAGAGCAGAAATAAAGATTTTTAGGGCAAGAAAGGGAACTATCAAGAGGGTAGAGGGGCAGGAATAGGGAGATTGAGGGTATAGGGTGGATACATTAAGCATATAATATATACTTGTATAAAAACTTTAAAATTAAGGATCCTAAGAGAGACATATATGGATCTAATCTACATGGGAAGTAGAAAAAGACAAGATGTCCTGAGTACATTGGGAGCATGGGACCATGGGAGAGGGCAGAAGAGGAGGAGAGAGAAAGGGAAGGGAGCAGAGAAAAACCAAGTAGCTCAATAAAAACAACTAAAATAAATAAATACATTTTAAAAAATAGGAAAAGTGCTAAAAGTAAGTAAAACACAATAGAAAATTTAGACAACAATGAACTAAGCTAACATGCTCACAATGAGTGTGTACAGGATAGCCTAATTTAAAGTGAGTACAGCTGGACATGGTGACACACACCTTTAATGCCAGCATCATGGAATGGAGGCAAAGGCAAAAGGATCTCTGTGAGTCTGAGGCCAGCCTCGTCTATAGAGAGAGTTTTAGGCCATCCAAGGCTGCATGGTGAGACCCTGTTTCAAAAGATTAGATTGAGTGCAAAGATTTGCAACCAGATTTAACCAGGAAAGAGGTGCTGTGTCTCGTGTGGAAGCATGCCCCCTCCTTTCAGAAGATGTGAACTCAACTCGGGCCGCTCATTTGAAAACTGCCAAGTTTCCCCACTCTAAAAGGACCTGATTCACTCTCTGAGGTCAGACCTTAGCTCGCTAATCTGCCATGACAGAGACTCTTCTTGAGTCCTTATCAGCCTTCCTCAGTGGGTCAGTGTTGTGAAGGCTGAGGAGTCTGGCAGAGTTCCTGTTCCTCCCAGGCCGATATCACAGGGCGGCAGGGCCCTCAACAGCAGGCAAACATTCCTCCCAGAGCCAGATGAGGAGCTGAAGCAGCCAGAGGAAACAAGAGTACCAGGTAAAGAATTGTTTTTCTAAATCTCATCAGTATTTTGGGCACAGTTCAGGTCTGAGAAGAGGAAAGTTGGGTATAGGTAATAGTCAAGGAGATATTTGTTAAGGAAAATGAGTGAGAGATTCTCAAACTTGTGGGAAGGATGCTCCGTTGGATCTAGAATCTCAGAACACTTAGTCATCTCCTGTACTTGTGAGCATCCAAATAACATCCGTGAGACGTGGGGTTATGAGACTACACACTGTGATGGTCTCAGTTAGGTTTGTCGTATAGATCCCACCCATGAAAGTGACCAGGAAAGCAAAATGAGAATAAGGAAGCTGTTTCTAACAGAACTTCAGAAAATGGAATGAAATTGCTCTGGACTGCACGCAGTCTCTGCAGGACCTCGGTGTGCACCCTTGCACAGAGAAAGACCGCTTGCTTCAGTTAATAAGTAAATGTTCTGCGTTAGAGTTAATAATGGCCTTTCTGAAATATTTTCTTCAGAGCTCTGATTTCAAGTTAGATGACTATTCTCTAGTCTTTTTTTTCTTAAAGATTTATTTATTATGTATACAACATTCTCCCTCGATGTAAGCCTGCACGCCAGAGGAGGGCACGAGATTTCAGTACAGATGGTTGTGAGCCACCAAGTGGTTGCTGGGAATTGAACTCAGGACCTCTGGAAGAGCAGCCAGTGCTCTTAACCTCTGAGCCATCTCTCCAGCCCCTATTCTCTAGTCTTAAAACAAAAGGTTGTTGGTCACAATTTAGAAACCAGACTCCAAAGGCTTAGGATCTTTTCCAAATCTTAGAGGCTCCACACCAGAAGGGAAGGCAAATCTCTGCCTCACACCACACTGTCCGTAATTTAGAAGACGTGTAAACAACTAAAGCAATTTCAGCATTTGGCTTTGATTGGCATTCTTTCGAGAGTAAATTAAGGTCTTTAAAACTTTTAAAATACCATATAAAATATCAAATCTTATGAGTTGTATACTTTTTGTTTCTTTGTTGCTGTTGTTTCTAAGATTTATTTATTATGTATACAGTGGTCTGCCTGCATAGTATGCCTGCAGGCCAGAAGAGGGCACCAGATTTCATTAAAGGTGATTGTGAACCACTATATGGTGGCTGGGAATTGAACTCAGGACTTCCAGAAGAGCAGCCACTGCTCTTGACCTCTGAGCCATCTCTCCAGCCTCTACTTTTTGTTTAGTTTGCCTGTCGGAGATAGGGTCTCATGTAGTCAAGGCTGGCACCAAACTTACTATAGTCAAGAATGACTTTAAGCTGCTGACCCACCTGCCTCCATTTCCTGATGGGATTACAGTTGTGTTGGGATTACAGTTGTGTACCCATACATCTGGCTTCAAATTCTTCATCCACCTACATCAGCCTTCTGAGTGCTAGGATTATAGGAATGTGCTACCATGCCTAGCTTGATGCTTATTTTTATATCAAGACCTACCACACACAATCCAGACTCCACTTCCTTTGTTTTCCACTGCTTCTTCACTTCCTCTTTGAGTTATGACTAGAGCCCCTGACTTCAGCTTCTATTTCTGCACATCTTTTAACTACTCACTTAGCTCCTGCACTAACCCATCCCCCTTATATCTGGACTCAGTGTTGGTGCATTCCAAATTTAAGTGGAGTGGGCTGCAAATCTTCAGCAACTTATTTTTCCCCATTATGGAAATCTATTAAATATTCACTTTTTAATCTATGGCTTCTCTTGTTGAAAGTTCTATTTGGCAAAAAAAAATTTAAATATTTATTTATTATGTATACAATATTCTGTCTGTGTGTATGCCTAAAGGTCAGAAGAGGGCACCAGACCACATTACAGATGGTTGTGAGCCACCACGTGGTTGCTGGGAATTGAACTCAGGACCTTTGGAAGAGCAGTCAGTGCTCTTAACCTCTGAGCCATGTCTCCAGCCCTGGCAAAATTGTTTTTTAAAAAACAATGCTATCAAGGATTATTTCCAAAACTGGGATCAGTGGAACAGGTCTGTAATCCCAGGTATTCAGGAGCCTGAGTCAGCAGGGACCCAGCTAAAAATGGTGCATGAAGGGAAGGCTGGGAATGTAACTCAGCGGAAGAGCACTTGCTGAGCATGGAAAAGCTGGGGGTTCAATTCCCAGTCCCCCTAAAATATCTTTTGAAAGATTACATTCAATGTTAAAATGTATCTCCAACAATGTAGAGCCTTGGAGGAAATATTGTCACCTCTGAACCTCTTACTAATACAGAAATATTTCTGTCCTGGTTATTTGTAGGAATACCTTTCTGTTATTGCTGGGAGTGTAAAAAAAATGCCCTATGCTGAGATCACCATAAATTTGGGCAAAGTGACTTTGGGAGAAGAGAACAGGAAGAAAATGACCAATAATTGTTTGAAAAGACACGAGAACTCAAGTGTCGTCCAGGCTGTCTGTGCACTGCTGAATTCTGGAGGAGGCGTGATCAAAGCAGATATCAATGACGAAAACTATAGTTACCGGTGCCACGGGCTGGGACAGGATCTGGAAACTTCCTTTCAAAAGCTCCTTCCGTCAGGTTCACAGAAACACCTTGACTATATGCAACAGAACCACCACTTCCTGATTTTTGTAAAGTCGTGGAGGCCAGATGCCTCCAGCCTGCTGCTGAAGATTTGTAGCTTACGCTCCAATTTATACCAGAGAGATGTGACCTCTGCCATCAACCTGAGCGCCAGCAGTGCCCTAGAGCTTCTCAAAGAGAAAGAGTCTAGGGCCCAAAGAGGTGTCCCCAGGCTGCAGTCTCAGAAATGCACCTTTAACAGATCCATCCAGGAAGAAGAAGATATTAAGGTGTGCGCCTCAGAATTTTTTAAAAAAGATAAACTCAATTATAAGGAGAGGCTTAACTTCACAGAGTCAACACACGTGGAGTTTAAAAGGTTCACCACCAAAAAGATTGTCCCTCGGATTAAAGAGACGCTGGCTCATTACGTCTCTGCGTTTGCCAACACTCAAGGGGGATATGTAATTATCGGGGTTGATGATAAGAGCAAAGAAGTGTTTGGATGTAAGAAAGAAAAAATGAACCCGGAATTACTAAAAATAGAAATTAAAAACTGCATAGAAAAGTTGCCCACATACCACTTCTGTCGTGAAAAGCCCAAGGTGAATTTCACAGCCAAAATTTTGAAGGTTTACCAAAAAGAGGCCCTGTATGGTTATGTCTGTGTGGTTCAAGTAGAGCCCTTCTGCTGTGTCGTGTTTGCTGAGGACCCAGACTCCTGGATTGTGAAGGACAATGTTGTCAAAAGACTGGCGGCTCAACAGTGGGTGGACATGATGCTGGGTATTCAGCCAGGTAAAAAAAAAAAAAAAAAAAAAAAGCCGGGCGGTGGTGGGCACGCCTTTAATCCCAGCACTTGGGAGGCAGAGGCAGGCGGATCTCTGTGAGTTTGAGGCCAGCCTGGACTACAAGAGCTAGTTCCAGGACAGGAACCAAAAAGCTACGGAGAAACCCTGTCTCGAAAATCAAAAGATGCACTCGCACAAGAGTGTTCTTTTCCTAAGGGCTTAGTTCCAAAGACTCAGAGTCACTTTGAAATCGAAAGAAAGAAAGAAAAAAAGAAAGAAAGAAAGGAAGGAAGAAAGGAAAGAAGGAAGGAAGGAATAAATAAATTTGGATTTCAGTCTTTTGGGGGCAAGTTATCATATATCTTCAGCCATGAATTAGTGAGTTCCTTTTCTGTGCTGTAAAATCCTGTTGACAAAAGTTGGCTGATTTTCCTCGTGTCCATGGAATAGTTTCACTGGAAAAACAATCTTTAGAGGACACCATTTAAGTATGACACTACACTAAGTATTTGGAGGAAAATTCTGTGTGTGTGTGTGTGTGTGTGTATGTGTGTGTGTGTGTGTGTGTGAGAGAGAGAGAGAGAGAGAGAGAGAGAGAGAGAGAATGTGTGACAAATTTGAACCATTTCAGTAAATCTAGAAGTATATATCTTAACCTATGAGGCACTACACCACGAGAGGAACGAGGCAAGAGCAGATAGATATTCTGGGTAGTGACCACCCCGAGGGAGGAAGACTGCTGGTGGTTGTACTTCCCTTACATCTTGTTTGGCAGTCAGCCTTGGTGCTTCCTATTCAACCCAGGAAAGACTTAAAAATAAGCTCGTTTACTTGCTTGCAGGATCAGATGCTCCCGATTTGATGAAACACCTTACACCACTGGATACAGACGTCAGTCGTTACAGACGTCATGGCGTCATCCCTTGTCTTTTCCTAAATTTGTCTGATCTATTTCCTCATCTCTCCAGGGAGATCCTTCCCCTTTCAATTCCTTCTTTCGTTGGATGGAAATTAAAGGCAACCGTAACGACAGTTACAGCCTGTGCTGCCCTCTTTGGCCACAGGACTGCTTACAGCCAGCGGGGCTTTCTCCTTTCCTCCATCGCTCCTGTAGGTGGCCACCAAGGTGTACAGCCTGCTTACGTGATTTCTCTCACTGTCCTTGAGCTTCGAATAACAGCTGTGCTTCATGTGACCTTGGCTGCATCTAGCAGCTTCCCTTTCTTCTTACAGGTGACCTGGCATCAGGATTTTAGAGTGTGAAGGAAGCTCAGGGACCATCACTTCCTGAGAGACAGGAGAAATGGCACTGGTTTGAGTTACCCAGGGAGGCACACTTCCCAGCTTCTTTTTCCTGCCGTCAACAGCTGGGTGAGACAGCGTAGCACCCCACACCTGGTTCTCATAAAAAGAACTGCGAAGTTCTTCCACCTTTGAGTTTTCATTTCACCTGAGACCGCTTTGTATCCTTGCTTAGATCCTTCCAGTTTGCCCACCACTGATCCTGGTGCTCACCCGATCTCATCAGCTTCGTCTGCACCAAGAAGGCCTGTGCATCTCAGCAAAGTCCTGGAATATAAGGAGACTCTGCAGCGCCGTTTCTTTCCAGGTACGCCCGTCTCTGTTTTGGTTTTGTTTGGCTTTTGAGACAGTATCTTACTATGCAGTCTAGCCCAGGTTCCCTCTTCATTTCAGCTGAGGAGATTGTTTTTATACAAAAAAGCATAGCTCAGTGGTAGAGTGTTTGCCCAGCATAGGCAAAGTCTTGAGTGTGACACCCAGCATTGAAAAAAAAAAAGAATTAAGTTGGGGGGAATTGATAGCAAGTATCCAAATCTTTTTCTTAGAGAATGTCAAATGTAAGACTTACCAGACAAATGGTCCTACAATTACACACACACACACACACACACACACACACAGAGAGAGAGAGAGAGAGAGAGAGAGAGAGAGAGAGAGAGATCTTAAATCTTAGTCCTCAATCTCCATCAACCTTCTATCTGTATTGATTTCAAACCACCTATGTCTTTTAGTCTCAAAATGGAACGTACTGGAGTCAGTTCTCTTTGCAACAGGAAAACCATGGTTCTGAGGCTAGAGTTGTCCTTTTCTGTCAGGTTGCAAGAACTGGCTTTGTTTTCAAGTTTTGGTAACTTCTATTCCTTCACTATTCAGTGACAGAGGCAAACCTACAGTTTCAGCCAGAATCCCTCTGTAAGAAGCTGTTCTCAGACCATCATGGACTGGAGGACTTACTGAAGGCACAGACGCATCCTCGTTCCCACGGGACGGTGATAGTTTCTAGAAGCTGGGCTGGTGATATTGGTTTAACGAAAGAGCGGAAGGTCCTGTGCGATGCTCTCCTGGTCGCAGTCAACAGCCCGCTGGTACTCTACACAATCTTAACAGACCCGAGTTGGAACGGAGGATCTGACTATGCGCACAACACCGCCCTTCAGTTAAAGCAGCAGCTACAAACCCTTGGCGGCTACCCAGGGAAGGTGTGCGTCATTCCAAGGCAGATATGCCTGAGCAGCAGAGGGCTCAGACCTGATCCATCACTTGTGTGCTACCCCCGATCCTACACACTGTCTAGTCAGACAGAAGTGGAAGATGTGCTAAAAGCCCTTGTGGTGGTCCCACTGTGTTCCAGGTCCCTGCTGAGTCATCAGCTGGGCTGTGAGTTTTTCAAACATCGGATAGAAGAGCAATGCCACTCGCTTTCCCAGAGCCTCCGGGAAACCCCAGAGCTGTTCATCCATTGCTTTCCAGGAGCCAGGAAGACACCTCTAGCTATAAAGATGACAGAGAAAATCAAGGATGTGTTCCACTGCAAACCAAAGGAGATCCTCTATGTTTGTGAGAATGACTCCCTCAGGGAGTTTGTGAAGTGAGAATTTTACCATCTAAACTTCAGGGGGGAAAGGCCTTTCACCACAGGCACAAAAGGAATTTGTGACACTGGTTTTTCACTGTGCAAGCGCAGAAGCCTGAGTAAACACAGATGTCCAAACGTGGTTGAGCTTTAAAACGGGTGACTTTATCATATTCAACCCCAAATAGGCTAAGGATGCTTGTCATTTGTTTATTTGTTTGAGACAGTCTTTCTCCTTAAACTCAATCCTCCTGCATCCCCTTCCTGAGCACTGAGATGAAAGAGATACACTACCATGCCCAAACAAGACTCTGATTCATAGTAGAAACATGTTCACACGATCTGTGTCCTCAGATCTAAGAAAAGTAGAAACGAACCTGTTCTACTTTAAGTAACTTTTTGCTGGATAGTTAGTGTTCTGGTTATACAATTAGTCACTATATCTAGCTGGAAGTTAAATGCAAATACAATTTAATTTTGTCTATAAAATATTCACATATTTGAGTTGTTCCGCACCAGTAATTTTAGAAAACATTAGTTCTCTAGCTTTCAGTGTAGTAAATAAGTTGGACATTGCACCGTTTAGCAAAGATGGAAAATTCATACTATTTCTTTTGGCTTTAATTATTCAAAAATATTTTTGAGCAGTATTTACATTAGATGCTATTAAATAGAATGTCAGAGAGAAAAAAAACCAATGAAGACTTTACAAAATAAACAACGCAAGTGCTGTGTTATTGGTATCATGATAAAGATCCTCCTCTTTATTGTGTCGGTCAACAATTAGTCTCCAGAGAAGGAGACTCTTGGCCGTACTAAATCATTAGGAAGCCAGGTGTGAGAGCGCATGCCTGTAATGCCAGCCCTCGGGAGACTGAAGCAAGGAGACTGAGAGTTTGAGGCCAGCCTGGCCTATAACAGTGAGACCCTGTATCAAAAGCAATCGGCAAACGATAAACAGTAGGAGAAGGGAATGAGATGGGGAGGGGGCCTTCTAGGCAAAGGGCACACAGCAGGTCAAAGGCAGTGAGAAATAAGATCTAACTGGAGTAGAGCCAGAGTGTGGACACATGGAAAATGGTGACGCTGGAATGTTTACAGGAATGACTAACATTATGCAGTCATAATGTAACTAATTTTTTAAAAATGTCCCAGCTAAAACCCCAATTGCCAAATACCTATCAAGCTCCTAATGTGAGGAAGGTATGGAGACAGCTTAAAATCAGTGCTTTCCCTCAAGTGTCGATTGCGTTGGGTGGGTTACTCAGTCTAGGGGTCTCGGAGGGGCGCTACCTGGAAGGGAATGAGCTAGGACAGAAGAATGAGGCTAAGCAGATTTGTCAAAGCCCCCGTTTATTAGGATCATGCTGGCTGCTTATATAGTACCCTGGATGAAGACTTTGGGGGGCAGGGAAACTGGATTCTGGCCGCGTGTTCCAGGTCACGTGGTTCAGGTTCGTCACATAGGCCAAGAGGTTACATTCGGACAAGTTGCCACACCTGGTTCCCTGGATAGCTGGAATGTGAGGCGGGTTCCGCTAACAGATAAGTTAATTGGGTGTGGGGCAGGTTCTGTCAATAGAACATAATTATGGGTGTGGGGTTCTATGCAGACTCCCCAGGGTGATGGTTCCTGTAATGATTTTTAGGGGGGAAATGGCTCGTGACACTCAAGAGCCACAGAGGCCAAGCTAGAAGAGAGTGAACGTAGTTACAAGTCACGGCCCAGAGAGCAAAGCCCCAGGAACTGTAGCCTCAGTCCTGTATGAGGGACCGACCCTGTTGGATCCTTAGAGACGGCAAGAAGCCAGCAGACCTGAGAAGGGTGTTTGTGTAGCTCAGCATATGTGCATGCTACAATGTACCACAGCATGCTACAATGTACCACAGCATGCTACCATGTACCACAGCATATGTGCGTGCTGCAATGTACCACAAAGGGAAATGGACTGGAGAGAGGAAGCTCTTTGGGTTTTCTTTTCCTTTTCCTTCCTTCCTTCCTTACTCCCTTTCTCTCTCTCTCTCTCTCTCTCTCTCTCTCTCTCTCTTTCTCTCTCTCTCTCTCCTCTCTCTCTATCTTCTTGAAGAAACTCAGCAACTGGTGTTTTTCCTACCAAAAACTCAAAGGAGTTTCTGATTTTTATAAGACAAACAAAGAAAAAGACCTTGCTTTACACAGAATTTAAATTAGCACATACCTCTTCTGCATGTATGGACTACAATATGCCTCTAGGAGACTGTTCCCTAATCCTAAGAGGACACGTTAAAGAAGTAGGAACAGGCATGAGTTACTTTTGAGATTTCCTTTAACTGTAGTGATCTTGTCTTCTCCTGCCAAGCATCACAACTGGACCAGTAGAAACAGCAAGATTTCCTAACTTCTTCTTCTTCTTCTTTTTTTTCTTTTTTTTTTTTTTTTTTTTTAGATCATGTATTGCTATGCAGGCTAGGTTGGCCTATAGTCATTATGTAGTCCAGGCTGGCCTTGGACTCAGGATCATCAGCCTCCTAAGTGATGGGATTATAGGCACAAACCACCTGACTCGTCCAACTACTTCATAGTAAAATTTCACATGAAGATTTAACTGAAAAATCCCCAAACTGTATTCTATCTTTTGGGTACCTTGGAAGTAGAGAGGTTTTATTGTGCTACCTCTATTAGTGAATCGATCTGCGAAGAAGAATGAACCTCTATTTCCAATCCAAAGAGTAAGGAAAGCTTTTGTTATCTTTGTTTAAAGGCCTGAAATCCATGTTTTCTCTTTTATGGTTACAGCCGACAAGTTGCTTGCCAAGTTGTGACCCAGAGGACCTTCATGACAGAAGAGTTCCCAAAGATTAAACACATAGTGGTGGATGAGCCTGAGGATTTCTGTAGGAGACACGGTGACTGGTACAAGAAGGCTAAGAGCATCACCCATCCAAGAGCGAAGGGGGCTTCAAGCGAAAGCCTTCACCATGGGACCCTCTGGCTTTTTCTGGATCCTTTCCAAACCCATCCTGCAGCTGTTAGTGGCCTTCCTACTCCTTCTGCTCAGTTTCCTCGGAAAGTGATCACTGAGATCCACTGTGCTGTGGAAATAGCAAACATCATAAAAGAAGAAATGAAGAGGATGCGAGAAAATCCTCCTTCCAACGCATCTCCAGACATGCTGGCCATGCTCCAGGAGGCTCCCTACGAGGAGGCGATGTGTGCCCAGGTTCTGCCTGGTGTGTGTGAGATCAAGGCTAACCTGACACTAGAAGAGATGGCTGACTATGTGGCAGAGAAATGTCACAGCCTGTTCCACGATGGCTATCTGCCCACAGATGTTGCAGTTCTGTACAGGAGAGAGGAAGACGGAAAACAGTATAAGGCTGCATTGCGCAGAGCGATGGCCCACAGAGCAATGGAGGTTGCATTCTGCACCGCTGCTGACGTTTGTAGCGATGGCATTGTTTTAGACAGTGTTCAGCAGTTTTCAGGCATGGTAAGGAAGATTGTGTTTGGGCTTAGTCCCGAAGGCGCGCAGTCAGAGGGGGCCCATAAGCTCTGCTTTGCCTCCAAAGCCGTTACACATCTCTACTTGCTGTGCTAAAGGAGGACAGCGTCCTGGTGACTATTGTAATAAACACAGGAAGTCGAACAAGAGCAATCTCTCCTCCCAGATGGGAGATGGGTGGCAGCTACTTCCTTTTTAATATTACAAGTGGAGAAATGAAGGCACATCGCTATGGCCTGGAGTTGCAGCCTTTTTTTTTTTCTTTTGTGGAGGGCTGTGTCACTCTGCTTAGTGGTGGCTGTGCCCTTTGCTCAGTCTACTTCTCTTTCCTGGACAGTGACAAGATAAGTATGATTCCCTGCCTCCAATCTTCCTAAGTTAATTCAGTTCTTACTCTGTCATCCAAAGATCCTAAAATAGAAAACAAATCTTATGAAATTCCCTGCTCTGGGGAGTTCCTGCAGCCTTTAAATGGAACGAGTTTCCAAGGCTTTCTACGGTGCTGACCCCATCCTGGATCATGCCTCCATCTCCCAGCGTGTCTATGCACTCCAGGCTTGTAGCCATGTTGGGAGTGATGGTCGGATATCCTTTAGACTTGGACTGAGTATCTTGAAAGCAGCACCTAGACTAGCATCTCAGACTGTCTCTGGGGCTCCAGCTTCACAGGTGCAAACTTGATTCCCTTTCCTCACAAAGTGCAGAGTAGTCTCTTGGGGCTGACTCTGTTAACCAAGGTCACAGCAGACAAAAACGTGAGTGAAAGCGCCACTCCGTTCATTTAGAGTGTACACTGTGATAATCAGTGGGCTAGGGGTGTTTGGCCAATTTATACATTCATCAAGAACATAGGAAGATAAGTGATGTGAGCAGAGCCTTTCAGTAAGAACAGCTAAAGGGACAGCCTAGATCTAGTGGCCAGCTGCTCGCTCTCTCTCTCTCTCTCTCTCTCTCTCCCTCCCTCCCTCCCTCTCTCCCTCTCCCTCTCTCTCTCTCCTCTTTTCTCCCTTAATATGACAGATAATGCAATTAGTGTAATAAAACAACAAAGATAAAGAGTTGCTTGTGGTGTGAAGCTCCTAAAACATTGTTAAAAGAGGGCAACAGAATATGATCATATCAGCTTGAGAAATGGAAAAAGAAAAATAAAAAAACTCCTAAACATCTCTTGACCCAGTGTATTTTTTTCATTTTTGCTTATTTCTCTTCCTTTAAGATATGTTACACACATTGCAAGTTCTGCAATTAACTTTCTGTTCTATATGGCTGCTTCTTCCATTTAATTTTTTGCAAAGCGTTGCTCCAGTGTTACTGTGCCTAATACTTCACATACATCTTTATTTCTTCCCTTTGCATATCCTAACAGTAGAGTTAGATATTGAAAACTGGTATAGCTACTCTGGAAATCAGTGTGGAGACTTCTCAAATAGCTGAAAATAAATCTACCAGCGAGATATGCCTGGGGCATAGTCTCAAAGGACTTGACATCACACTCTACGATGAACACGCTCAGACACGCTCGTTGACATCACACTCCACAGTGAGCACGCTCAGACACACTCGTTGACATCACACTCCACAGTGAGCACGCTCAGGCATGCTCGTTGACATCACACTCCACTGTAAACACGCTCAGACACACTCGTTGACATCACACTCCACAGTGAGCACGCTCAGACACACTCGTTGACATCACACTCCACAGTGAGCACGCTCAGCCATGCCCATATCCTCTGCTAGGAAACAACCTAAATGACCTTCAAAACTGAATGAATAATGAAAAGGGATATGCATACAAAGGAATTCCACTCAGCCGCGAAGAAAAATGAAGTCATGAATTTTGTAGGTAAACGGAGAGAAGTAGATCACATGCCAAGTGAAGTAATCCAAACCCAGAAAGACAAATGCCACATGTTCTCTCTCATCTGTGGTCCTTAGCTCAGAATCTTTAGACATGAGTAACCACAGAAAGCAGGAAAGTAAAAAGGGAGCAATTCAGGGGAGCTCTAGATTGGCACAGTGCTATGAAGCAGAAAATGGGGGTGGGGCTTTAACCAGGGAGGGGGAGGTGAGCAATACAGATGGGGCAAGAAATAACACTAAGAATGTTTCATAAGACATATAGACCCCACGATTTTATGCTTACCTAAAATTACATGTAATATATATATGTGTATGTGTATACACAGATGTATAGTTTAAAGAAGTTACGACACTTGGGGTGACAATGCTCCCCAAAAGAGCCATGAACTAACAAAGCCCTCAGTACCATGTATGAGACACATGAGTTCTCTTGACCTGTAGTCCAAGTGGACCCCCCAAAAACAACAACATAGGCTATTGCTGCAGCATTTGGCTGCATCCCAGAATTTGGAAGGAAGACCCTATCTCTGAAGAAGTCACACCCTCGTGACACAGGACTTGGAGGAAATGATCTGGAACTGGCCTCAGAGCCTTGTCCTTGTTGACTGGCTCTTGCAGTGTTAGAAGATTCTATGGACGCTGCCAAGGGAGAGATGCATTTGGTAGTCCCCCTCCACTGGAAAGCCCATGAACCAGAATTGTAGAAGCATGGATCACTTAAACTTGATGTTGCATAAGTACAGTTTCAGTGAAAAGAAAAGATGACCCCGTTCACGAATGGGAATTTTAAAAATAATTTTTAGCCAAGCATGGTGGCATACACCTTTAATACCAGCCTCTCATGTGCTATGGACTCTATCATGAAGCTATAACCCCAGACTGGGTTTTATTTTATATTTTGAGACCAGGTTTCACTAAGTTGAAGGCTGATGTTCAACCTGTCATCCTCCTGCCTCAGCCCGGGGAGTAGCTAGGATAATAGGCCTACACCACCAGGCCTAGCTTATTCTAAATTTTGTTCAAATGATTTAGAAAATGTGTAAGTAGTATATTTTCTATAAAAGTGTACTATTATAGCAGAACACACGCACACACACCAATCAAAAAACAAATACAAAACCCTCATCCTTATTTTCACAACGCCCTCAATTGTTACTCAATTTTGCTCTTTCATTTCCAGTGCTAGCACACTGGCAGACAGATATGCTTTTGCTGAGTTGTAATCACAG